TTAGTATCTAATCGTACTCCAAGGTAATATGAGTTGGCTGGAACGGCTCACGGGTCGGGAGTACATTTACGATTTGCTCCTGGATTGCAGCACCTGATCGGAATGAAGGTCCATTGATGTTGATGTTAGTTATCCATTAACTGATCTTTGTACACGAATTTGTTCCGCTCGCAATAAGTCTTGACATACTCCTTGGATCGAGCTCGAAGCTGTTCGTGTATATGGTGTAAAAACTGGTGTACATATATATAGATAATCCTACCACGCGAAGTGGAGATCATCATCGAATTGATGATTGACAATTGACTCACCCATGAACGGAAATGCCAGGTGGTCTCCATCATATTGTAGAGATACCCAGTCCTCTCCAGCCGATACACTTTGGATTTCACCATAAGTCGCCTCGACGCCATTTCTTCCACGAGGAGGGTCTTGCACCCATTCGATACCGTTCCCCAAAAAAATCATATAATGTGTGAGGACAAATAGCTCAGCCAATGAACAATTGAGTTTACATTGTCCTGTGCAAGATCATCGTGTGCTATAAGATTATCAGAAGCATATCCCAACGATCACGCTGATATACACCATATCCGCTCGTGTAGCAATCAATACGAGAGTCAGTGAACAATTCTGCGCACTGATCTGTGAAGTCACCCGCCATCAAACTTAGCGCTCGCCCAGATAAGCACACGAACTTTGAATTGTTTTATGCAGAATTTCAAAGTTTGGTGAAGCACACCCAACCTGGTAACCGTGTCTGGTGCTATGTTGGATGCCCCCAACATATTATTGGTTATGGTGTTAAGGACATTGAGTGAACTGATCCATGTTTGTAAATGACATGGTCCGAACATCTTCGATGTGGTCGGGAATGCAAATATCGACTGATATGAAACGGGGCTGCCCGGCTGTTATAATTCATCCATGTAGCCCACTGATATGAATTAACATTTTTTTGGTCCGATTGCCACCATGTAACTCAGTAGAAAGAAAGGCCGAAGCCTTACAAAAGCCAGGGCAAAGGTGAAAGCAGTCCTCGACAACTAGACAGTGATGCACGAATATCATGAGACAAAATCGTGAAGGGGAATGGTGTGGCATGAGATATAATGCAAGGGTAAGATAGAGCAGGTATACACATAGTAGCAGCCCACAGAATGAAACGCTAGAAAATAGCAAAACAGGCCTCAACGGAGAGAAACCCCACCATACTCCAAGCCTTGGAGTCCAAGGCACCCGCTGAGGGATGTACGAGTATAGGCAGAGGTGATCAAGGCTTGGCACCGGCTATACCGAACCGGTCACCTCCACGGCACGTTGAGGCGCCAAGACCTGTGGGGGCTCAAATGCGTCCACGTAGTTTTCCAATACGTCACACATTCGTTGAAAACAGAGATTGCGCGGCGCACTGCAAATCGCGCTTCCCTAGCTAATCGATTGTCACCTAAACCGCGCGCGCTTTAACCAATCTTGAGTCACGGTCGGTCTGGCGGGGCCTGTCAGCGCTGTTGACTCAGCCCTGAGCGAAATATCTCAACGTAACGGCAGACTCAATCAGATCGACCCTTCCTAAAAGGTTCCTAGCGAAGACATGTATTGGAATCGTATCCCTCCTTCGGGCCTACGAGTTGAGTTGAGTTATGCTTGATCCAATAAGTCTAATAACTTGCTGAGGGCATTTTCTGAAATGGGCAAAAGGCCTCGCCCTGGTACGGTTGGAGGAGAGGATTATTTCCATCGCGTGGATGGTGTATACACCTGCGTTTTATTCAGGGGTACTCCTAAACGGTACGAGGTAAAAAATGTGACCCGTTTCGAGAAGCACGTTCACGATGAGCACCTCGGCGATATTCGCTGTGGGCTCACGCCCTCGCAGAAGAGACATACCCCGACTACATTACCCAACACAACATCCAGCGTCGGCTCGCATTGCGACACCGTAAAAATAGTAGGCTCTCTCTTTCGGATGGTTGGTATGTTTATCCATAGAACATTTTCGCACTTGTTCATTTTGCAGATCATTTTCTACGTTGTTGAACAGGTTATCGTATTGAAACAATGGATATTACCCATGTTTCCCTCGACCAAATGCAATTGAGAGCACTCGCATTCGAGGAATTGAGATGCGATCGTGAGTAGATTGCTTTCACAAAGTTTGTCGTTGATGTGTGTTATCGTTATTTATTGTGTTATCAAGTATATTTACTGCCGCTTAGATATAGTAGTGGTATTAATTTCGAGGCTCTGAGTAAGTTGCTTAGGCTGTGTCCTGATTCGGACACTTTGTCTTTGCGGAAGGACGAAGTAATGCACGATATTATAAACATATCAGTTTCATTTGACAACTTGGTTTGTTTTAGAATCGTGATATCATCTTGATTACTTCTGCAGGCGAGGGTAGGTTCACCGAGTGCACCATTGCTGTTCATAATGCTTTTATATGAATCCGGTTCTACCGAGTACTAGGACACTGTAGAGGGTGAGTTTTATTTATTTTGCTTTGTTGATGACCTGTTTTCCTTTAGATTTCGGCTTGAGTCGTCCTAATTTGTTGGAAAAGCCAAGTCTGCTAATAGGAAGACCGTAACGGCAATGTATGTGTTGTGTGCTCTGAAGAGATGGTCTAAAAATCTATATGGGATTCAGTGAATGTTAATATTTGCGGTTATTTTTAATAATAGGATTAAAGTTCGCTGATTGGTTCTTGTGTTAGTTGGTCATATACACGGTTTGTATATAGTGGTATAGTGGTTCTTGATTAATCTTGTAGTTGTCATTGCTATGCATTCGGCGAGAAGTCTAACGGCCGATCTATATAATCTATATAGACTTAAGCCGATCTATATAATGACTCACAAAATAATGGGTGGTTCGCTGGATACTTCCTCCCTATCATTGTCACAGTAAGACTAATACTCAGGCATACTCAAACACGATATCGTCAACAGTTATCATCAAAACAATCCGAAACGGCTTTCGCGGTGAAGCCACATGCTCTCATACCGATGATGTGTCTGGACCGCAACAGCCCAGTCACACGGGACTGCGAATCAAAAGGCCGCAGGGCCCTGATACGTCCGACCGCCTCAACCAACGTGTCGTACTCTAGAACACATCCCTTCACGCTGGTCGACCAGAGGACAAGTGATAGAGCCTGCACAGTTCCGTGCAGTAAGGCAGTTTTCAAGTCGACCGGTACGAAATGGTTCATTTCAAATGGACGAGGAGCCTGGCAAGATGGGAAGATAACCATAGAGGCAATAAGCCGTTCCGACGATGGGGCTATAGTAAATGGTAAGTGCCACAACCCTTGCAGAGCCTTGCTGCCCACAACGTCACTGGCCCAGATGAGCTTGGTCATAGTCTGTGGATCGACGTTGTTGACAGCTAGTACTCGCTCGCATGCCTTCAAGTGAAGGTCATTTGAATGGTACTCTGACTTAGCGATGGCGTATGCTATTCCACACATCATCAAATTCCTACCCACGATTCCTACCCACTTGAGGGGGCTATTGGAGTCCACACGCCTCCCTGACCTATGAACCGAGCAATCTGCCCAGTAGCCTTCTCAGTAACATATAGAACATTCGAGTCTTGGTTAAAGGTGACTCCAGTATACTCCTTGGAAGGATCTGCCGGAGCTATTATACAATAAGCATTGTAATTCTTCGGGTAGAAAACAACAACGTCACCCTTGCTGATGCCGAATACGATCATATCGTTGCACGAAGCCTCGGTATTAGAAAGAGTCTTCTCGGCAACAGGTAGCCATTGGTTGCATTGGAGTCTCCAGAGCATACGGATACCATCATCACTAGAGTAACCAGCTAGGTACCATGCACTATAGTCAGTGAAACTGACTCGGGAGTTGTTTGGCCCGCCGGGAGGAGGTAAGGAAACGTCGTCCTATCAGCAACGCAGAAGTCACCTGAACACTGGCCAGATGAAGAGGATGTGGTAGTGCTAGTCACAGGACCACTAGTTGAAACCGTAGTAGTGCTAGTCACAGGACCACTAGTTGAGGCGGTAGTAGTGCTAGTCACAAGACCACTAGTTGAGGCAGTAGTAGTGCTAGTCACAGGACCACTAGTTCAGGCAGTAGTAGTGCTAGTCATATGTAGTCGACCATGTGCATATTCTCCAACACTGTTCAAAGTAACAGCTTAGGTCGATTACATTGCGGGCATGAGATGCAGACCAGAGGAACTTCTCGTGATGATAAAGAGCCTAACCCTGGATTAATTACATGTGCATATTTTCCTACGTACTCACCAACGTGAAAATGAGCATCATCTTGGGCGATGCTGCTGCCCTCAGTGTACATCCACTAGTGATCCAGTAGTAGTACTACTACTACCTGCATCGGCCACCAACATGGAAACTAGCCTCAAGGACTATCGTCGATACACCGGCGGCTTTGAGGTGTTTACCGCAGTTCAGACCAGCAATGCCACGCGATTACTGCATCATAGTCTTGCCAAGCCTCGGACATGATCAGAACTCCAAAAGCAATGACTGTGAATGAGGATCCATGCCTTGCACAAACCGCAACCACCGGTTATGGAAATAGAACAACACCGCATTTTGTATTCGAACTCATGACCATAGGATAGCGAACCCGATGCTCTGCCGATTAAGCTACTAGTCATTTATATTCCATCACCAACACATGTAGTTGACCATGTGCATATATTCCCCCCCACTGTTTCATATTGTCATTCCCCCTCACTGTTGACCACGGTAGACTACTACTACTACTACTACTACTACTACTACTACTACTACTACTACTGCTACTACTGCTACTACTGCTACTAACAATGTCAGAGGCCGTTATACTGTGCAGTGTGGGGGAAAATAAGCACATGGTATTAGTGAAAATATGGAAATTGTGGGAAAATTCGGTTTTTGTTGGTTTCGGAACAATTCTATTCGAATTTGTATATGACGTCGTGTAAGACCGTGTAAGACCCGAAACGGCTGCGATCAGCGGAGGAGAACAACCGTATATTCCAACAATGCTATTGTATGCAGAGTTCTTGGCCTGATTCCTATGTGGCATTGCATTATGTGCAGTCCAGAACGATTGCCCTACCTAAGAGTTGTTCCTTACTGTCTGAGAGGTAGGTTGATACATTATCGGAGTAAAAGTGACTCTACCGGGATTTGAACCTGTGCTTGTTATTTTGTAGAGTACAGTAACGGTTTGATTCAAAGGGAAATCTTAGTGTTTTCGAATAGTGAGAGACAGATGAAAAAGGCACACAACGCTTAAGTCGAATCCTTTGTGCGATTGACCCTATGTGTGGAATATCATAAGTTGCCGTTGTAGTGGGATCCCATGTTCATCGGGGTTTCACCCATTCTTCGTGCAGTCGCATAAATCTCAGTGTAAAACTAAGCGATATTTGCGGTATATAATAGTCGTGAAACACATTTTCACTAGTGTTTTTCATATCACTAGGGTGGTGAAACTCTATTGAATATACTCTGCCTGAACTCAGCATCAATTTCAACATCGTAGCGTGAGAAGCGATTTCGAGCTGCGAAATCAGTTTGTTGAACGAGTCAAAAGTCGTAGCATTCAAAGTCATATACGTCGTAATGGAGTTTCAGACTTCAATAATTTGTGCTCGGCTTGGACCTCCTCAATCACGTGTCAAATTGTTCGGCGGTTAACGCTCGAGTGAGCTATTCCAGATCCCAGCTAGTGTGTGTCGACCGTTTCCTTCGTGATATTCGTATTGGTCGTGACTCACGACTCGTG